CCCCAAAACCCCAAAACCCCAAAACCCCAAAACCCCAAAACCCCTATTATTTCAACTAAAGTTGAAATTTATTAGTAGCAGTATTTCTAAACAACATGAGATTCTTCAGTCCATTGACTCTGTCTTTAGGGCCCTTATTGATCGAAGGGTAGAAACTATTGTTAGTTCTACTAGTAAAGTCCTTAGATTTTGGCCTAACAGCTATTTTGCTAGATCCTTGACCGCTAGAGCCAACATCATGTGCTTTCTTCAGCACAGATCTGTTAAAGGCATCTATTTTTCCATAAACAGGATTAGAATCATTGAATTCCTTCGACTTGTAGTTCCTAACTTTGTCATAAGATGTATTGGTGCATGACATCTGGACACTATAGTTACGATTTCTCAATCTCTGCATTCTCAGTAACTTTGCTTCTGCATTAGATCTACTATGAGGAGGCTGGTACCCAATACCAACAGTTCCTGGCCGCTCTCCAAAATCTCCCTTGAACGACTTCTGTGAGATAGAACGGTTACTGATCTGAGCAGTATATTTATCTCCATATATTGTCATAAAGGACTCGTTCATATTAGCAGAGAACTTGGAGTTGAAGTCTCTAGGGTTACTGCTATCCTGAATAATTATTTCATCTTTCCATCCCATATCAGGTCGGTTTATCAACACTTGGTCCTTATGAGCAGACCCAAGATTAGAAGCACTCGATAAGTTATTGATTCTCCTCTTCAACATCTTCTTATAACCTCTCTTTTTGGAAAATTTTCCAGCTGTTTTATACTTGAGATTTATCTTTCCAGCGCTTGAATTCTGGCTAGTCCTAAAATTCGGGTCTAATTTAGCCTTTTCTTTAAGCCTTTCTTCATGAAATCTCTTCCTTTGTATTGATTGATTACTAAGATTTGTGAAGTACATTTCTTTAGTCATCCTACCTTTTTTATCAACCTGAGGTCCATTCATAATATTTCCATTCTCGTTGAGAACAACTCCTGATTGTAGAGTGAGCACCTGAGAGGGAGGCGGCTGCAATGCAGTAATTTCTTGCACGTTTGCATCCCCTTCTTCCTCTAATTGATTAGGGTTCTCAAATTTTGGTGGTGGCAGATGATGCCCAGCTGGAACAGAATACAAATGTTTCAAATGATCAATCTTGCCAACTTCTATAGAAGCTCCTTCCAGGTTAACCTTTGTTGAGGTATTCGCTTCATTACATGGTAAATTCGTCTTATTAACCCCTTTAATAAAAATAGGCTGACCTTTATCATCAGTTGTAAATATTTTTCTTGATAAATTAACATTCTCTCTACCCCTTTCAGCCATATTTTGCTTTTTCTTTCTCCTTATGAGCTCTAGCTCTAACTTATTTCCTCTTTGAATCCTTCTCTACTTTCTTTCTGAGCCTCTCGATTTCCCCGTCCATGTCAAGATGAGGAAAGGAAGGGTTAATTACTTGAATCTCCTTTTCTTTATCCCTTGCTTCCTGAAGCTTTGGGTTCATTTGATCACTTTTCTTAATTGCTTTTGCTTTGGGCTTAAATTCCTTGAAGCTCTTCTTTACTGAAGAACTAGACTTGAATTTCTTCCTCAAATAACTTGTTATACTCCTGGTAGCAGTTTTATTTTAAACTCTCAGTTTCAGGCTCTTCTTCAACTTTGAATACAACTTTCGTCTCTACTGGGATCTCACCATTCGCCCATTTTCAGACGGTTGGAGGTTGAGCCTCTTGGTCCTCATTGTCATACCATTCTTCCCCATTATCTCTCGCAAAGAAGTTGCTTCTAAGAAGATGTCTGAGTGATCCATTGATTATGCCAAGCTCATGACTTGGTAGGATAGATTGTAGATACTTATCATACAGCATTTCTGCTCCTGCTTGGACTATCCTATCAACTACATCCACTGCTGCATGTAGCGGCTCTGAGAACTCCTGCTTCGTAATCTCTGCCTCAATGTCCATGATTTTTAAATTTATTCAATGAAACTGCTATCAAAAGGGGTTTTGGGGTTTTGGGGTTTTGGGGTTTTGGGG